ACCTCTATCCCAGAGTGAAAAGGACCCCAACAGGAGTACCTGCCTTCTTAGAGTCACATCAGAATATAGCCATATACCACTGAATGCTCCGTCTCTCAAAATCCAGTGCGGCTCTTTTATACTTCAGCGCTCTCTCTGCACCCAGCAAGGGTCCTGAGCATTGTGTACACAGAGGACTTCAGCTCGTCGTCTGGCGTAGAGATGCAGACGTGCTCAGGGGGTGCGAAGAGCTGTCCCGTGGCTGACGACAGGCAGCTCCTACCTTCCTATAATGGTGAAGGTGTGAAGCAGTTGAAATGCAGATCACTTGCAACGTAGGTCTTCATCTCATGTGTTATGTGGTGTGGGCAACGCGAAGTAAAGTAGAAGCCTGGCTTGGTATCTCCCATTAACCCCACAGCAAAGCGGCCTCTTATCCACAGGTTCTTCTGGCACCGTCAGCCATTCCTCCAACACAGCAGTCTCAGAAGGAGAAGCCTTCGTCCTTTTATTCCACAGGTCAAAGCCACCGCAAATGGCGCCACTGGGGTGCCTGGCAAGGTGGACAAGCTGCATTTGGAGGAGCATTCGGGAGCTCAGGGTCTGGGGTAGGTGTTAGTGGAGAGAAGACCGTGTCCACCCCCTTCAGGGTGGGCATCATTGTCATAGGCTGAGAGATTGAAGAAGACCAAAAGTTGGGCCCCTGGGTAGCTCAGGGGGTGACCCCGGGCTCATGGGATCGAGTCCTGCACTGGGCTCCCTGCAGGGAGCCTGCTTCTCCCTTTGCCTGTGTCTCCACCTCTCTCTCTCTCCCCGGGTCTCTCATAAGTTAATAAATAACATCTTAAAAAAAAAAAAGACCAAAAATCGTTGAAAGAGTAAATTTAGGTACACTACCCTGGGTTTGACAGGCTCGTGTTGTCCATTTCCCGTTTTCCATCAAAATGGGGAAAGTCAGGCTTTCTTGCATAACGTGGGGAAGGTCTGTTTTTAGTGATATTTATATGGAACCGTCCTCTCTCGACAACGTACGAGGGACCACGCGTTCGTCACGGCAGCCGGCTAGACTGAAAGTCGAGGAATGTATTCTCAGCCTCCTGCTGTGGAGCCACGCGAAGGTCACTGTTGCTGTAGGAAGAGCGGCGACCGCCAGAGCCGTGGCGGTCATTGGGCATGAAGACTGTCGTCCAGCTGCCCCCGCGTGGCCTGCTGGCTTCCCCTCGAATTCTGGGCCTCTCGGGGCTCTTGCTGGGAGTGTCGTGCTTGGCAGCGCGCCTGGTTCTCTTCCCTGCTGAGGTCAGGGTGGTGACTCGCCCGCAGAGGCACCTGGACAGGTGTTGCGAAGGCTCCTCGGAGCCGCCGGTGCCGTGGGACCTCGGCGTGGGGCCAGCTCCGCGAGCGCGACTGTTACGCGGCCTCAGGGGGGCCCGGCAGGTGCCATGGGCGGTGTGGCAGCTGCCCCCGAGCTGGACGCCCGCTGTTGGGCATCTGGCTGCCGCCTCCCTGGGCCTGCTGGCAGCGAGCAGGGCCCCTGCGCGCCCCCGCCACACTGTCGTCCTGACACCTCGTCCGCCACCTCCCCGGCCACTGCGTGTCACTTCAGACAGGCCGAAGATCCGTTTTGGATGCTGCGGCCTCGACTTTGCCAACAGGCTTTTAATGCCCTCGGATTTCCCACCCCCATGTAGATAGCGTGTCATCACGTGCAGAACACATGACCCCCTAAGCCACGCGGGGCGACCAGTGGGGTTGCCCAGCCTGGACGGGGGTAGCCTGCCTATGTGGTTTTCACCAAAATCATCGCTTTCAAAGTCAAGGTTTGTGGAAAGGCTGATACTGTTTATGAGTCAATCGATACTTTTTTAAAAGAAAGACTCATCTCCGAAAATTTTATTTTATTTTATTTTTTCTCTCCCAAAATTTTATAACAACCACACAAACGTGTTATGACAAAGTGCTCAAAATTGTCAAGACATGCACTGGGCATGTCATTTTTTAATTTTGTTTTTTTGTTTTTTGGGGTTTTTTTTGTTTTTTTTTTTGTTTGTTTGTTTGTTTTTTTCTTCTTGACTTTAAGTAGGCTCCACACCTAACCTGGGGCTTGAACTCACAGCCCTGAGGTCAAGAGTTGCATGCTCTCCTGACTGAGCCAGCCAGGTGCTCCGGGACATATCCTTTTTTTTTTTTTTAAGTGCATTAGTCATGGGTTAATATCCTAATATTAATTAAATCTGATACTCAGCTTGATACCATGTGGCTCTTACATTTTATTTGTAACCGAGAAAGAGGATTGCAGTGCGCCTACCTGGCTGTTTTAAGAGAGAAGGCATTGTCTTGATTTCTGCCAAAGTAGGAAGAAAGTAAGAACCCATTTCAACAGAAAATGACCAGCTTTGGTATTTCTAGAATAAAAATAAAAATCAGAGCAGCTAGCTGGCTCAGTCAGAAGAGCAGGCGATTCTTGGTCTTGGGGTCATGAGTTCGAGTCCCATGATGGGTATGGAAATCACTTAAACTTTTTAAAAAATCCTTAAAAAAATAATCATACGGCTACCAATCCTCTGCCAAAAGGTAGAAACAGGTCTGAGAGTTTAGACAAAGTTGTGGCAGGTGCAGCCCCCCGCGCCCCAGCACTGCCCACCTGCCTCGCCTCTGCAAACAGCTGACATAAAGGAAGGCCGGGCACCCAAGGTCATAGCGTGGGTGGGGGACGCCCCCCGGGAGTTGGGTGGCTCTCGGTCGTCCTTCAGAAGTAGGACCGATTCCTTCCGCAGAGGATGAGCAGTTTCCGTCTTCCTTCATGGCCACAGCTGTGCCACGGTGCCTGGCTGGGGGAGTGGGGCTTCTGAGGGTTGAGCTTTCCCAGGACCTGCACGGTCACCCAGTAACCCGCTGGGTCTTTTCCTGTCGTTTCTTCAAACTGAGGTGAAATGATTGCAACAGAGAACCCCCCACAGGAAAGGGTCCAGTCGGTGTGTGTGGTACACCCACGTGGGGTGCGGCCGGCACCCGGGTCCAGATCCAGAGTGTCTCCATCACCCTGCGTGGAAACCCTGCGTGGAAATCCTCCTCCCCCTGCCCGGAGTCCCTGCCGCCCGTCCGTGTGTCCGTGCGTATTTCTCTTTTCAGACACATGACTTTGGTGTCTGGCTTCCTGACCTCAGGGTCGTGTCCTCAGAGTCCCCCCCACCCCGTATGGGCGCCGCGTTCCTCCGAGGGCTCAGGAGTGCCCCCCTGTGTGGACACACCCCGTCTCATCTACCCCTGCCCGTCGGATACTCGGTGTTTGGGTTGTTTCCCCCGAGGCTCGCGTGATACGCCGTCCTGGGGGCACTGCTTGAACTCTTTTGGTTACAGACCTGGGACTGGAACCGTTGGTCATACGGTGCATAACTCGTTTACGTTTTTAAACTTTTTCGTTCAAACTGTTGTGGTTTTTTTTTTTTTAAGATGTTATTTATTTATTCCTGAGACACACAGAGAGGCAGAGACACAGGCAGAGGGAGATGCAGCTCCCCACGGGGGGCCGATGTGGGACTCGATCCTGGGACACGGGGTCACGCCCTGGGCCAAGGCAGGTGCCCCACTGCTGGGCCCCCGGGCGTCCCGGTGCAGACTGTTTCTCAAGGGCACCACAAAACGCCCTACCTTTGACGACGGGTCCATGCAGCACATGGCCTTGGCGGGCACGGCCGCGGGAGGCTTGGCTGCCAGGGGCACGTTTGACCTTTCCGGCGCTGCCCGCTTCCCTCGCCCCGTGCGGCCCTGCGGTGCCAAGGAAGCTGGGAGCCTGTAGCCGGGCTGCCCTGCCCACATCCCGCCTCCACCCCTGCCCGGCTCCAGCGGCCCTGTGCCCGCTGCCCAGCCTGGAGGCTCCCCAGCTCTCGTGGGTGTTAAGGGGTCAGGCCGCCCGCGGTGGTCAGCTCGGGAGGTCAGAACAGGCTGCGGCTGTTGGGGCGCCTGATGCAGAGAGGGGCTTTCGCCTGGTCCTGGAGGCCCGAGGCCGGGTGTCGGCGGGGATGGCCGCCCCGGAGGCTCCTGGCCTGGCTGTGTCCTCAGGCAGCCTTCACCTGTGCGTACACCTGTCCCGCGTTTCTTGGAGCGTCCGCCTCTTCTAAATGGATCCTTGCCAGCTTGGGTCCGGGCCCACCCAAGCAGACTGATTCTAATGTATTCATCTCCTGGGCGCCTGGGTGCTCAGTTGGTGAAGCGTCTGTCTTTGGCCCAGGTCATGGTCTCGGGGTCCTGGGATCGAGCCCCACATCGGGCTCCCAGCTCAGCGAGGAGCCTGCTTCTCCCTCTCCCTCTGCTACTCCCCCTACTTGTGCATGCACACACTCACACTCTCTCTCTCTCTCTCTCTCTCTCCCAAATAAATAAAATCCTTAAAAAAGATGTTAAGGTTAAATAAACAAGATCTAACATGTGCCATTTGACTGTTTCCACGTGTACGATCTGGTGCACTCAGTACGTTTGCAGTGCTGCGTAGCTGTGACCACGGTGCATCTCTAGAGCCTTCTGACCATCCAAGCAGAAACTCCCGGTCTGTCCGACAGTGACTGTCTGTCCCCCCCCCCCCCCGCCCCCCAGCCAATGCAGGTGTTGCGCCAATTCTTCCCTTAATCCTTCCATTTCCTGAGCCACCTGGCGGGGAGCGGATAGTCCTCGGTGCTTGGCGTGGGCTGAGGTCACTGGAGTGGGGACTGGGGCCTGGGCTGCTTCCCCGTCCGTCTCTGGCTTAGCTTTCCCCGCGAGTCCTCTTTGAAATGACTCCATTGCTTGGTGCAGGATGACAAGATTTTGTACCAAAACGGCCCAGGTAAAATGTCTGCGGAGGGGGGCGTCCCTCCTGTGCACCCAGGTGGATGCTGTTAGAACTCCAGGCGGGCGGCTCTGGGGGTGGGCGGGCCCTGCGCCTTCTGGAGCCCCTTCCAGACTCTTCTGTCCGCGCCCTCGCTGCCTGCCGGTGCCGCGCATGTGTGACCCGCTCTCCTTCTTCTCCCCGCCCCGTGTGCTCGCAGACCTACATCGGCTCCATCCTTGCCTCCGTGAACCCCTACAAGACCGTCGCCGGCCTGTACGAGCCTGCCACCGTGGAGCGCTACAGCAGGTGCCACCTGGGGGAGCTCCCCCCCCACGTCTTCGCCGTCGCCAACGAGTGTTACCGGTGCCTGTGGAAGCGGCACGACAACCAGTGCGTCCTCATCAGGTAACCGGTCCCCGCTGAGGCTGGCAGAGGGCTGGGAGGGGGCCACGCGGGGTGCGGGCGTGCACAACCCGGCCCGCGTGGGGCCCCAACCGGCTGCTCCTTCCCAGCCAGCCCTCAGGACATGACACCTGCCGAGAAGGAAATGAGAACGGTCCGGGTTTTTTGTTTGTTTGTTTTTTTTTTTAATTGGAGTTCAATTTGCCAGCATACATCACCCAGTGCTCATCCCGTCAAGAGAACGGTTTTTCATAAGCACCTGGATTTCTCAGGTGGAGTTTTACAGTTTGAATAGCCTGATACCCACAGCTTTCAAAGACCCAAGCTCACTGAGAGAAAAAGCAGGAGGTACCACATTTGTTGACTCTTGGCCTCACAGAATAATTACTCCATTTTTCTTGTTTGTCTTGATTATTCTTTGGTTTATTCCATTGTGGCGTTGGTCCTTCCGGGGATTAAGGAAAATGTGTAGTTCCCTCAATTTTGAAGTGTCACGTATATTCTGGAGCGAGAATGCTCGTATCTTTGAGCAAGAGGTTTTTCTCTCATTCAATAAGGTCACATAGAATTTCCCAAACTGAAGCATTCTAAGGATTTTGACTTGGGCGTTCCTCACGTTAGCTGCAGAATCAGCGACAGAAAAGGGACACTCACCACGTGGGCACCAAGGGAACGCTGGAAGCACGTGTTTATTTCGATCTTTCTGGCAAAAGACGAGGGTCTTCACATCTCTGTTCCAGTGAACTTGTACTTTTATCAAATTAAACTACCAAGGGGGGCGCCTGGGTGACTGGGTCGGCGAAGCATCTGCCTTTGACTCAGGTCATGATCTCAGGGTCCCGGGATCGAGTTCTGCGTCGGGCTCCCTGCTCAGCGGGGCTCTGCTTGTCCTTCTCCCTCTCTGTTCCCTCTGCCTCTTACCCCGCTCATGTTATCTCTCCCTCTTTCAAATAAATAAACAAATTCTTTAAAATAAAGTACCAGAAGGGGCATCTGGGTGGCTCAGCCGGTTGAGCATCTGACTCTTGATTTCAGCTCAGGGCCTGGGATGGAGGCCGTCGTCGGGCTCTGTGGTCAGCGGGGAGGCTGCTTGGGATTCTCTTCTGCTGCTTCTCCCCCAGCTTGTGTGTGCTCTCGCTCACGCGCTCGCTCTCACTCTCATTGTCTCTCTTAAATAAATTTTTAAAAGCAAAATACCAGGAAACCCACTGTCAAAACCCATCCCTAGGAACCATCTAAAACAAGCAATGGCGTATATTCCTCTAAGAAAATTTTTTAATGGGGCGGCTGGGTGGCTCAGTGGTTAAGCATCACACTCTGGATTTTGACTTAGGTCATGGCCTCAGGGGTGTGAGAAGGAGCCCTGTGTCGGGCTCCACACTGGGTGCAGAGTCTGCTGGAGACGTTCCCCCTCTGTCCTTCCCCCAGCTCATGCTATCTCTTAAAAAAAAAATCCTTTTATGAACTACTTTGAATTGGCCTCATCGCTTACCTTCTAGTGACACCCAGCTGGATCTTCTTAATTCTTTATACCAGAACTCTGTTCTGGGGACATTCAGAGCACCCCCGGTTAGTGCCCAGAGCAAAGTGCAGAGCCTGACTTTCAGCCAGGTTTCCGTGGAATCCGTGGCAAAGGTTCGGACTTCCCTCTTAGGCAACTTTCAGATCCCAACTTGTGGCAACATAATTGGATTATTTAAGAGGCAAGGACGAGGCATTTTGGCTTTGGGTGAGATGATAGGAAGACCCTCCTTTCCCCCACTCCGGATTCCTAATCCAATGAAAAGGAGACAGATGGAGAGCCATATGTTCGCTCCAGACTTGAGCCAATCGGCCTTGCGAACATCCGAGCCCCAAATTAGATCAAAACCACCTGATCCGGATGCGGGCAGGTAAGTGGTGGCCACGCTCACCGTGGGGAAACCTATTTCCAGCCCTTCGCCCAGGTCACGTGTCAGGGAAAGGTCCCCCCAGCTCCTGCGGGGAGGCAGGGGCCAGCAGACTGCGGAACCCCAGGGAGGGGATGGTGGGGACGAGACCCCCGCCCACGTGGCACCTGTGTGAAGACGAGCTTGCCAACAGCTCCTGAGAGGTTAGTGGGTTTTGGGCACGGTGCCAGGAGCCTTCAGGCATCAGCTCACTGACATCTTCCAACGGCCCTGCGATGGCCGGGGCTGCCGCCGAACGTGCAGGTGCCCCGCGCAGAAAACCGTCTCGGGGCCCGTATCCTCCTCCCGGGGGTCTGCGCCCGTTACTTCTCTGCATGGGTCTTGCCTTTGCAACAAACCGGAATGTGATGAACAGCACAGCAGAACCCTGCCTTTATCCCCCTGCATGCCTCTGCCACGTTTAGGGGACGCAGGCATCTGAGCAGATGCACCCTCTTTCTTAACCATTTTGCTGGTGCTAATGTCCGGGGCTGTGGAAAGAACTCGGTGGGGGGGGGGGGGCTACCCACTGGTCTAATCAGGTGACCGCGAATCATGATGACTTGCAGCTCATCAAAATGAAGCTCTTATTTAGTAGCTCTTAAAGCGGGGGGAGCTTTGAAGCGCCCCATTCCCAAGAGAGAAACTTGCCTTCTGACTGGCAGCCCTGTACGTAGGCTCTTGCAGGCGACCTCCCCAAAGCTCAGAAGTCAGAATATCAGATCCCCGTTGCAGCGTAATACGGAATAGGATGCATTAAGACCAGCGGGAAGAAAGCAAACGTAGTCATTTTTAAGAAGATCAAATTGTACCTGAATATTTGCCATTGATCATTGCTTCTGTTCCTTCCCTTCAATGGGAGAAACGAGAGGATGACTCACGTATCACTCGCTAGACAGAGCGGCTGGGGAAGAACGCGGTAAATCAAGTGAGGTCATCCTGCGTAAGCGTGAGGGTGTCTAATAAAACGGGAGGGGGTCGGCATTTTCATGCCAACGACAGCAGTATTTAAAAATAAGGTGGGAGGCGGAGGCGGAGGCGGAGGGGGAGTGGATCCCAAATAGAAAGCTCCCATTGTGTGACTCCGGCGTGAACGGAGTAAGTGTGTTTATCTCAACCCAGGAAACGGCGTCTTTAAGAATAGAGTGCTCAGTAACGTATCTTGTTTCATAGATCTTGCCAGCTTTTTTCTTTTCTTTTCTTTTTTCTTTATTTATTTATTTATTTTTTTTTTAAGTGGAGGCTGGGGCTGTGGGACTCAGAGACCTTGAGTAGAGAAATAGACCTTCCGGTCACCCTGTCCCTGTAGCCCGAGCCCGTTTCCTCAGGCGGGACCCGCCCCCTGCTGGATGCAACGCGTTTCTCTACTTGGAGAACATTTTCCTATGCAAAGACCCTTAGGGCCAGAACCTAGGCCTGCTTGGAATCAGGACTTCAGAGAGCAGTTTCCCCCTGGCCTCACGAGCCTCCGCCCCTTGGCCCAGTTCCCCAGCGACGTGCGGGCGATGCCAGGTGTCTAGGCTTCCGGTCCAAGCTCCTCGTGTTGGGCTCGCTTTCATGGCTGTCCTCTCTCCTCAGCTCTAATTCTGTCTTTTTCTGCACATTTAAGCAAATGCTTATGCTATTATGGTCTTTATATATTTAAGGGTCACCCGGGTGGCTCAGTGGGTGAGCATCTGCCTTCAGCTTAGGGCGTGACCCTGGGGTCCCGGGATCTAGTCCCACATTGGGATCCCCACAGGGAGCCTGCTTCTGCCTCTGTCTGTGTTTCTGCCTCTCTCTCTCTCTCTCTCTCTGTCTCTCATGAATAAATAAGTAAAATCTAAAAAAAAAAAATGTTTAAAACTCGAGGTGTTTTTCCATCTAACTGGCAAGAGCAGCATTTGATTTCGGTTGATCTGGGACATTTCACACTGACTTGTGCCCTCGTACGTTGATGGGGCCCGCGGGGCTTACTTAGCGTGTTGTGGCCTATCGGTATATGCGGCCTTTTGAGATCCGCAGCGTAGGGCAGGCCTGTGCCTCAGTCCCCGTGGGACCAGGGCAGTGTCGGGGCCAGCGTTCCCGCCGTCAGTCTCCACAGAGATACGCGCGGCAGCCGTGCCGTCAGGACCTTTGCACGTTTCGGTTTCCCAACATGGGGTGGATTAGGCACCTAATGGATAATCAGGTGTCCAGTCTCTTTTCTGTTTCTAGTAATATGTTTATAAATGGTCGAATTGGCACAATGAACACAGCCTGCGGCCGGGGTCAGCAGGGCGCCAGCCTGAATAAGACGACGCAGGCTCTGGCTCACGTGACCCGGCAGCTCACAGTGCTAGACTTTAGCGGTCAAAACAGTCACGATGGTAATAAAATCCAGTCGCGGGATCCCTGGGTGGCGCAGTGGTTTGGCGCCTGCCTTTGGCCCAGGGCGCGATCCTGGAGACCCGGGATCGAATCCCACGTCGGGCTCCCGGTGCATGGAGCCTGCTTCTCCCTCTGCCTGTGTCTCTGCCTCTCTCTCTCTCTGTGTGACTATCATAAATAAAAAAAAAAAAAAAGAAAAAAAAGGCATTGACCGGAGAGCTGAAGGTCGGGGTCAATGTTCCTAAAAAATAATAATAATAATAATAAAATTCAGTCGCTGCCTTTAGGACCACCTTGTCCGACGGGAAGAAACTGATATGACTGATCTCGATAGCACCTGCCAGATGCTGTCACGGAAACATGTACGTGGCTGCTCCGAGAAGGTGGCAGTCGGTCCTCAGGAGGGAATGCAGACAGTACTTAGAGGACGTGAGGTGTGACCAGGAGGCAAAGGCCGTATGGGGACCTGGCGGGTGTGGAGGGGAGGGGCGGCCGCGGAAGCATCTGCAGAAACAGATACTCGGAGAAACAAGGGTAATCCGGGGATGGAAGGTAGCCTGTGGGGCTGTGGGGTCTGCTGAGGGACATGAAGGGGCTGGAGAGCAAAGAGAGGGAAGTGACGTCCATCTGAGACTGCGGCGTCCTATCCTCGGACAAGGGGAGCCGAGGCTCGGAGCCATGTGCGGGGCCCGGGCCTGGGCTCCAGCCCCACTGGGCCCTTTCGGAGCGGCAGCCTCCGTCTGGGGGCCGGCTCACATTTCAGGGCTCTGTCCTGCTGGCTGAGACCCAACAGCCGAATCCCAGGGACTCAAAGGCTTGCCCACGTCTTCAGGCCGCCCAGCGAGTGGCTGATGGAGGTCCCGAGAGTGTCCTGGGAGTTGGGGATTTGACTCCCGTGGGATGACGGAGGCTGGTCCTGGTCGGCAAGCTCGTCTGTGAAGGGCGGCGAGGACGTGTCACGGCCACGCACCTCTGCCCTTGAGCGTGGAAACACTCCCAAGCAGCGAGCCAAGCAAAGTCCTGGCCGTGCTCCGATAAAACTTGATAGAAACAGGCGGCAGAGCCGACTTGGGGGTGTGGTCTGTGCGCAGCGGCACAGGCCCGTGGGCGTGCATGAGGGGCCCTGGTCACGTCAGGGCCATCGTTGACCCTCCTGCCCCTGACTCCTCAGTGCCTTCCTCTCTAGTGATCACTGGCATTTCTAGCACGTTCCATCCTTTGAAGAAGATGTGCAGCTGTTCCGCAGCCCGATAGACCACGCAGCCCCCCACTGCTGTCCACAGGGCGCCATGCCTCTGGGCGCCCCGCGCTCATCCTCGCCTGCTCGTGCTCCCCCCGGCCTCCCCCTCCACCCCCACTCGGCCGGGCTCTCCTCTGAGGTCCGGGCGGTGGCTTAGGTGCCCCTGGGGGACCACGGTGGGCATCTCAGGGTGCATCCTGAGTGTCTCCCAGAAACATGTTCGTCCCCTCGCATCCTGTTGTCAACAGCGGGCGCTGCATCCTACCAGGTGGCACGCCGAGACCTAGCCATGCCCTTGGGACTGCGAGGCCCTCTGTGTGCCCCCCCACCCCGGCCTCCATTCAGGAGGAATTCCACGCGGTAAAGCATGTGGCCCAAGTACGCAGCTCGATGGGCTTGGCGTCGTGTGCACCTGTGCTGTCGCGCTCACCCCGGTCAGCCCGCACCCTGCTAGCGGGCCATCGGCCATCCCTGCCTGTCTCTCCGCCGTCTTTCCCGGGGCCTCTCCGCACATCGCTGCTGCCCTGCTCGCTACCCTTCTGCCCTCCCCTCTCCCCACCATCCCCCACCTTCAGTCCCCTGCGGACCCCTACTGCGTGTAGCCTTGAACCTGATCCCCACGCTCTCCTGCAGGACAAGGCCTGGTGGTGGATTCAGCCTCCAGAGAGGCCTCAAAGCTCTTAGCAAGGCCTGTGAGGCCGCCGCTCGGTGCTCTGGCTTATGTTCTCTCTCTCTTTCGTGGTTGTGTTGGTTTGTTTCACCAGTGGACGCCCGCTTGGGTTCATCGAGACGACCCTGGGTGCATGTCTGCGATCATGCCAGCACCCGGGTGAGGCCTGTGGTCGCCTGGTCTGGACCAATGTAGGACTGGACACGAGTGGGGCTTGCTGGGGTGATGGCTGTGGGGCCACCGTCCCGCCGCGGCCATGGGGAGGGCACGCGGGGAAGGGCGGGCGCAGCCCTGCTGGGTGGGCCGGGCGGGAGCGGCGGCCCCTGGGCCTGAGCCAAGCGCGGGGAACCAGTGGGTGGAAGTCAGCCCGGCCGGCGAGCATTCGGGGGCTGCCCTGTCGTGTTTGTGCTCCTGCGCTTGGCCCTGTGGTTCCATGGGGGTGGCCGCTGTCGTTGTGAGGCCGTCCCCTTGGCACCAGCCCAGAAGTCAACCTGAGGCTGTCTGCCCTGGGCTGGTGGGCTCCCTGAGGTGAAGGGCCCCCCTCCTTGGGTGCCCGCCGACACCCCCGCCCCCACCTGCGCGTGATGAATGTGCTAGAGGGGCTCATGAGCCCAGGAGGAACCCCTGTGCTTACCAGGCGATTCATGCTATTTAGAAGGTTTACCAGGAAAGGGTGTTGTAGGAGGACAGAACCACGCAGGGACCTACCCTGGGAGGGGGCCGTGGGCCCTGCATCCCTCTGTGCGCCCTGACACCAAGCGTGGGCCTCCCCACGCCCCTGGGATTGCTGTGCAGGCTTTGCTCCGTAGGCACCGCTGATGAAGTCCCTGGCTCTCGGCTTCGAGTTCAGGTCCCGGCGCCTCCTGACCCGGAGGCCAGCTGCGGGAAGCGACTGAAGCCCCCGCTTCCGACCCTGTGGGTGGTCCCCCTGGAAGCAGCCCCCAGCTTGGGCGCCCTAGCCGCTTTCCAAAAGTCGCTTCCCTACCATGACGTCTCAGGTCTGATTACTGTCACCGTGGAGCAGCGATGGGGGTGTGAGCCCCTCTGCATCAGAGGGAACTCTGACAAGGCCGAACATGTCTTGCCGTAAGCGATCCCGCCAGCACACCTGTGTGGTACGTGCGTCATGTTCACGGAGCCCCACGGATGGCTCACCTGAGAACGCCGTGACTCCTGGTCCTCGCCACCCTACTGCCCTGTTGGAGAGCACCTGGTCCAGGGCGCGGCCGGCTGCTGGTTCCCAGCTCAGGCCGGGGTCTCCGCTGTGCCCTCCGAGGCGCTGGGCCCAAGCCCTGCAGGAAGCCCTGTGTTCAGGGGGCGCGGGGCTGCGGGGATCCTCCCACCCCCCTCTGCCCCTCCACACGTGCTCTCAGCAATAAACCCTACAAAGAGGTGAAAGAGCAGATGGCGTCCTGGGCTAGGGGACTGTGCTGAGCCCGAGGTCCTCGAGGCAGTGACCCCCACCGCGTCCCCCCTCCTGCCGCACACGTTGCCCCTGTGCGGGTCAGCCCGCCCCCCCCCAGAACCGCCGGAGCCTTCACGTCTGCCCGTTTGTGAGCTCTCTGCCGCTGGCATCTGTGTCGCTCTGCTGTGCAGTCCTCTGCTTCTGGATGGCAGACACGGAGCCGGTGGCGCGGCCTGACGCGGGCGCCTGCAGACGCTCTGGGAGCGCAGGAATCCCCAGGCACATGCTCCTCCTCCAGGGCCTCCAAGAGCACACGGCCTTGGCCTTGACCCTCCGTCCCTCCGTGGGAGCATCCGTGCCGTGTCGGGCTGGAAGACCAGGTCACGCAGGTCACGCGGAAGCGCTGCCTGTAGGGCGCCCGCCGTCACCTCGGTGCCTGGGGACATGCGTGTGCTCTGGGTCTTAGCGGCTGTGAGCTGTGCGCTCGTCCTCAGCCTGTGCCCTGTCGCTGCAGCTTGTCCCGGGCCGTCGGGCCCCATCACCGCTGCTGTGTGGCCTGGGGAAGCTGCTCTCAGCTGCAGTGGTTCCTGCACCGCCCGTGGGGGGCCCTGGGGGGCCCCTGGGAAACTCCTCCGAGTCCTGAGCACTCGGCCCCAGCCCCGTCGGTGCCGCTCAGGGGCAGGTTAGGGATCCGCGTGGGCAGCAGGTGTGAGAACCGCGGCACATCTCCATTCCGATCCGTGTTTCACCTCCGTTCCAAGTTTTAGTTCTGTATGAAAATATGTACTTAAAGAAGACGCTGGGGCGGGGTCGGCTTGGGCGGGGTCGGCTTGGGCGGGGCTTGCGTCCGCCTTTGGCTCGGGTCATGACCCGGGTCCTGGGATCGTCCCACAGCGCCGGCTCTTGGAGAGTCCGCTTCTCCTCCTCCCTCTCCCTCTCCCGCGCCCCCTGCTTGTGTCTGTCTCATTTTTTCTCTCTCAAATAAAAAAAAAAAATTAAAGATTATTTTATTTATTTACTCGAGAGACAGACACAGACACAGAGAGAGAGAGAGAGAGACGGAGGGAGGAGGGGAGCAGGCCCGTGCAGGGAGCCCACGCGGACTCCATCGCGTCGCTCAAATAAAACCCTTAAAGATCGCACAGGGAGGGTATTCGGAGACGATATGGTGGGAAACGAGGCCGCGGGTGGCTCCGTGGGGGCCCAGGCTGGCGGGCGCGCGGGGCCGGGCTCGCCGCTGCTCCCCGCTGCTCCCCGCTGCGCGGGCCCGACCGCCCCCGCCGCCCTGCGGCCTCTGGCCTCTGCCCTCCGCGGCGTCTGTCTCCGTGCACCGACGGCGGGGGGCTGGGGGGGGGGGGCGTCGCGCGGCGGGTCCCGCTTCCGCTTCCGGTGCGGGCGCGGGCAGGGGGGGGGGGGGCCCCCCGCTGTGGGCCGCGGGAGGGAGCCTGAGCGGCGCCTTGTGTTCCAGCGGCGAGAGCGGCGCGGGCAAGACGGAGAGCACCAAGCTGATCCTCAGGTTCCTGTCGGCCGTCAGCCGGCAGTCGTCGGAGCTGCCCTCCCGGGAGCGGACGTCGAGCGTGGAGCAGGCCATCCTGGGGAGCAGGTACCCGCGCCCCCGCCCCCTCACGCCTCCCCTCCCCCCGCGCCCCCCGCGCCCCCCGCCGCCCCCCGCGGGCGGGCCCCAGGCGGCCGGTGGCTGACCCCGGGAACGTTGCGGAGCCCGGGCCGCGCGCGGGGCGCCCACTCGCCCTGGAGGCCGCGTCCGGAGCAGAAGCGCCCGCGCCGGCCGCGTGTGGGAGCGCGGCCCCTCGGGCCCCGGCGGCGGCGGGCGGCGCGGCCCCTCAGGCCCTCAGGCCCCGGAGGCGGCGGGCGGCGCGGCCCCTCAGGCCCTGACTGGAGGCGCAGCCGCCCGCCCGCCCGCCCGCCCGCCCGGGGCCCACGCGGAACCGCAGCCCGTTTCTCTCCTGGACGTTCGCGCTTCTTCCCGCCGTGGCCGCCGTCGAACACACGGAACGTGAGACCCGCCCGAGCGTGTGGGCCCGTGTCCAGGACGCGGCGCCCGAGGAGACGGCCCCCGAGGACTCGGCGCCGCCCCGACAGCCGCCGACACCGCCTGGACGCCGCGGCCCGAGCGGAGGCCTCGGGGCGCAGAGCCCGAAATCTCTCTTGGGTCCTTTATAGAAAGTCCTGCCGCCCCTGGTCCTGCCCGTCCCCGGGTCCTGCCCGTCCCCGTCTTACATTTGGGGAAGGTCCGCGGAGCTTAGTGCTAAGCGAGCCCCCCCAGGACAGCCCGCCGACGGGTGGAACTCCCGGGCTGGGGACTTTGTCGACCCTGGAACCCGAGTGGGATCCTGCCCCGCAGCCCCGGGCTCCAGCGTGGGCCCCAGCCCATTGGCTCGGGGACAAGCGTCCCGGCCCCTGGAAGCCCCGGCAGCCTGCGCTTGCCGCGTGACCTGCCCCAGCTCTGGCCAAATGCAGGTGCCTTGTGACCCCTCAGCAAGCGCTCTGAGATCCGGCTCTTCAGTGAACAGACGCAGTCACAGTCACCGCGGGCCCTTCCACTTTCAGATTTTTCCCCGCAGCGGCGGGTCTTGACATTTGTGAGCCCCGCTCGTGCTGTTTTCACATCTCTCCTGATGAAAACTCTACCGTCCTCACTTTTTTTTGATTATCGATTGAACTACAATGACACACGGTTTGGTAGGAGCTTCAGGTGTACGTCGTAGGGATGAGATCGTTGTGCCTTATGAAACGATCCCCCCGGGTAACTGGTTACCATCAGTCACCGCCGTGCACAGTGATGACTCTGTTACTGATGGTCGCCTGTGCTGGAGTTACATCTCCTGACCCGTATGTCGTATAACTGGAGGTTGTCCTTACGTCTCTCGCAGCCCCATCATGGAAGCTTTCGGCAACGCGAAGACGGTGTACAACAACAACTCCAGTCGCTTTGGGAAGTTCGTTCAGCTGAACATCTGCCAGAAGGGAAATATTCAGGGCGGGAGAATTGTAGATTGTATCCTGTTTCATTTAGGTCCTGTCGTTAGTATTTGACCCTACTAAGTCCAAACTTGGTTATCATTAAGGACAGATACCGTGAAACGTTTCGGTTTTCGCTTAATATTCTATGTGTGACCTATTGATTATCCTTTTGGAAACTTCCGAAAGTTTTTCTTTCCTTTTGGAGACTTCGGATATCATGTTCATAATCCGGAAACGTGGAGTCGTCATGAAGCATCAGGTGTTTGCTGTCCGAAATCGATTCTGTTAGATAGTTTGGCACCTCCTAGGAGGCCATGTGTCCTGTCAGAAAATGGGTTTATGTGAACTAGTCTGTGCTTTGTTGGCTCATGTCTTGGCGCTGGAAGTCTCAGTGCCAAAGGAGCAGGGATTTGCGATGATTTGGGTGACAAAGGGTAGAAAATTAAGGATCGATTGAGCATGCCCTATCCTTGTTTTGTTCCTTGACTGGCCATTGCTTTTCACATGAAGATTTATTAGAAAAAGTAAGTAAACATGATTTAATTCACATTTTCTTCTATTGATAATGATTTCTGGAAATTACTGGTTTGTGTTCATGAAATGGAGGAATTGTCTCTGAGAAGAAATCTGCTTTATCCCGCAGAACCGAGTAGTAAGACAAAACCCCGGGGAAAGGAATTATCACATATTCTATGCACTGCTGGCAGGGCTACAACATGAACAGAGAGGTAAGTGAGGGTGCGACCGGCAGAGAAATACGGACTAGCAACTTGTTTTCCCTGAAAAGCCATCAGTAAGACATCTCCTTGGGCTTCGTTGGTATTTTAGCCGTTGAAATAAGGTGTACGAGAATACTGAAGATTCTGAGGCCATCTCGTTTTATATTATTTTTTTAGAGATTTTATTTACTTTATTTGACAGAGGGAGAGCACAAGTAGGCGGAACAGCAGAGGGAGGGGGACGTGGGACACCCCCGTGAGCAGGGAGCTGGTGGACTAAGTGGGGCTCCATCCCAAGACCCTGGGATCACGACCTGAGGCCAAGGCTCAACCAACTGAGCCACACAGGTGCCCCGGTGGAGTCCATTTTACAGCCAAATAATGTAGAGGGAAAATCACCAATAGAGAAATGTTAAATTTTTGTTTTTGGAATCTTGGCACTTTTCTAATTTATAGAATACTAATAAAAAATATATAGTGCATATTGTATCTGGTTTACTCTTAAACCATACTCAAATACAGTTAATTTTTAAACGTGTGATTTTTAAGAGAAAACAATCAAAACAGGACTCTTACTAGTTTTTCAAGAACATTTGCTATACTTATTTTCTTTCTTTAGAGAGCATAATCAAACCGACTGAGCCACCCAGGCTCTCTTAATTTAAATCCTTTTTATTTTCTCTAAATGATGACTAAGAACTTTTTTTATGTTAACAGGGGACTGTTAGCATAGAACTATTTACATACTTTATTTTTTTAAAGTTACAAAGTGAGAATTCTTGGATTGTGTCTTATCCTGTCCAAGTACTGATTTTATGTTTTCCTTTGTCTTTTGTAGAAGAATTTTATTTATCTGTACCAGAAAACTACCACTACTTGAGTCAGTCTGGATGTATAGGAGACAAGACAATCAGTGACCAGGAATCTTTCAGGGAAGTGATTGTAAGTTATTTTCTTATTTTCCCCTTATTAAGAGTGACAACCTCAAAAAAGAAAAGTGGCATTTCATTCCTGTTTCAAAAAAAAATTTTTTTAATGAAAATAGAAGTAATTACATTTGCACCACTGTATGAGAAAAGGTACTTTCTTCTTGTTCCAAATCATGGTAAAGAATGTTCCAGACTGGAAGAGGATCCTCTTTCTCTGGAAGGTAGATGAATATCCGTGGCATTCGGGATAGGTACATGGTGGGTTAACTTGGAACAGTGTATTAAAATGTGTGTGTGTGTGTGTGTGTGTGTGTGTGTGTATTTTAGGCTTGGCACTGGAACCTACCAATCTTTCTTTTTTGAGCTTATATATATATAAATACATATATATATATATATATATTTTTTTTTATAACAGTTTCTACAGCTAAAAACCTGTCAACCGTTAGACCCGGTGACTGTTAGGATCATTCTGACATCCAATTCTGACGGCAACAGTAACAGTAGTCACCTTGCAGCTCTGAGCTGTGGATACCTGTGGTCTCTTACAGTTTTCTGATATCACAGGTGTTTGTTCTAAGGAACATTTAGGAAGCCTGGTCATTGAGCGTTACTGACATCCCCCCCATTGGAGGATGGCCAGTAGATTTTGCCAGTGCAGTCTCCATTCCTTTGCCAGGATCATTGCTCCAGCATTGGATACGGTGGATCTAGGCTTGATTTCATCATCATACATGACATCGAGCACTTGTTTTATGGACTCAAGTGAGCCACATCTCTCGTTGCTCTTAACCCTGTGAGGGTAGGAACTGTGGCTGTCTTACACTCTACACCTGGGAGAGGCTGGTGCCCAGACTGACCGCACACAGTACCAGACAGAACCAGTCTAACTCCAGATCCCAGGCTCTAATCCACAAGGCAGGGAGGCCGTACCTGCTTCCGGTACAACATCCCAGATTGTCTGTCGAGTTCTTGTCTTCACAGTTGTCAACAGTTCTATACTCCACATCCCCATCCATTCTTCTAGATTGTTCAAAAAATGCCTTGTGGAATGATATCAGGGTCTTTTTTTTTTAAGTATGTATCATACGTCCTTTTTCCAGGTCTTAAATTGAAAATGAAATTAAGAACAGCATTGGCTAGAACATCCTCTTCCCCTCTGTCTCCCGTTTATCCTGCATTTATAATGCAGAGCAGTTTCTCTTGCCACATCTCCTTTTTTGAAACTGTCAACAAAACAGCCCCCTGCTGACAGCACCTTTTGCCGAGCACCCTGGACTGCATGGGAATTGGCCCCGAGAATTGGATTTTATGAAATGTTTTTTAAGCATTTTAAGTTTTCTTTCCCAATTTTATTTTGCCCCTGGATTTCTATCACTACTCAGACTTTCTCTCTTCTCAATTCGTTCATTACTGTCTTTACTGTGTGTTAGAATAAATATGAAAACTCATTTTTGATGAAAAGGGTAAAGAAAGACAGGAATTTTTTTTTCTTCTTCTTTCTTGAAGCTGGAGAACAATGCTTCATGATAGAAGGAACTTGTTGCAGGAGACAGACTCCTAACTGTCCAAGAAGTAGCAGGTCTCCTACTGATTACCTCACTGGCCACTAGAGTGCACTGGGCATCGGGTCCTCTGCTTACCCTGAAAGCGCCAGAGAAGCGACTCTCTTGGCTTTCCTCCGCTTTCCTCTTGGGACTTCACTCATTTTCTGATTCAGAATTGTTTATTCCTTTTGTTAGCCTTCGGGTAGACTTTTGGGGTGCGCCCTGTTTTCATCGTTTGCTAACTTTTATTATTGAGTTGAAAGAGTAGGTTTTGGCATTTAAAATCTGATCTTACGATGAAAAGATATCCTCTAGAAAAGAAGAAAATTGTGCATGACATTGATATAGATGTACACAATAAGCTTACATGTATTCCCTTTATAGATTCTTAACTATTTACCTTCTGATTACTTTTTAGTGTCAACCTATTAGAAATGTCAACAAAAAACTAGTGGCTATTTTTTTAAACTCAGGAACATGTAATTATTATTTAACCTTCTGGACGGTCTAAGCAGTGCAGTCAGAAAAGAAAAAAGAAATGTGTACCTTTTCAGAAAAGAGGAAAATACTCTTTTCTCTAAAAAGTAGGATTTTCTGTCTTTATTATTATTTTTTTCCCTCCCTTTACTTTAACCTGCAAGAATCACAGATTGTGGGAATGGCTTCAGTAAAGCCATTCCTGTCATATCCAGGGCAGCCCTGGTGGCTCAGGGGTTTAGCACTGCCTTCAGCCCAGGGCGTGGTCCTGGAGACCCAGGATCGAGTCCCACGTCGGGCTCCCTGCATGGAGCCTGCTTCTCCCTCTGCCTGTCTCTCTCTCTCTCGTGAATAAATAAAACCTTTAAAAAATAATGATAATATCCATAAAATAAGGTCCATTACAGCAAGCAAAACGTAAGCTCCAGTATATTTAATGACATGGAAAAACATATTTTATAATTGAGGGAGATAAGTTGCAATACTAAATTTTTTATTTAAAAAAGCATTTTATGTATAATTTAGGATATGTGATAAATAGCAAGAATATTCTCTCACGAGGCAGAACTCTAGGATTTTATCATTTTGTGTTATATATTTACAGTGAATATATCAGCTTTAAGGATTGCATAACTTTGATTACATTCCTAAAATCGCGATTTCTGTAAAATAAATTTCTAGAATCCTGAATATCCTATCAGTACCAGCCAGCCCATTGTTCTGCCTTGTGCAGTACTCCATAACAGGAGTGACACAGGAATGGCGAAAAAGAAACCCTGAAGTCTTCAGGCTGAGGTTGGTTTTATATAGCAACATGTTTGAGCACCTGCTGTGTGCCTGGCACTGTTCTAGGCAGCAAGGAGACTGCAGTAAATAAGCCACATATCATCCCGGTATTCTGCTGAAGAAGGAAACATGATTGGACTGTATTGTACTGCTGTTCTTAATGTACTTTGTCTCTCAGTATTTTGGTTCTTTAAAAAAAAAGATTTTATTTATTCATGAGAGAAAGAGAGAGAAAGGCAGTGGGAGAAACTCTGGGATCATGACCTGAGTCCAAGGCAGATGCTCAACCAACTGAGCCACCTAGGCACCCCTCTCAGTATTTTCTTCCAAAAGCAAATACCACTTAAATCTGCATCTTCTTATTTCAATTGTGTAAAGCTGCTTTTCCCAGTGGTTTGGAGATCAGAGGAAAGGAGCTATATTCCATTAAGACTGAAGGACATTTGTTTGCAGAATATGTTGACATGTTCATAGAGAGAAATTCTTTTTTTTTTTTTTTTAAGATTTTATTTTTTAGAGAGAGAGAGGCAGAGAGAGCACAAGTAGGGTGAGGGGCAGAAGGAAGCAGACTCCCTGCTGAGCAGGGGCTCGATTCCAGGCCCCCAGGATCATGACCTGAGCCAAAGGCAGATGCTTAACCGATGGAGCCCCCCAGGTACCCCTCTTGTACACTTCTTTTGAAATTTTTGCTTATTTAATTGAGAATCTGCTTTATGTATTTTTAGAGTTCATCATTGCCACCACTTGGCAGGAATATAAATAAATGCCTGTAAAGTAGCCTGGGTGGCTTTAGGGGACCTGGTTCTTCCTGGTGAATGTATGCTGAGTTTCATAGCCATGTTTTTATGCAGTTATTTCAAGTCAATAGGAGCAACTAATTTATTTTATTGCCTGTATTTGACCCACTAGAATGGTGGCTGATAATATGTGTGTGAAGTAACAGGTATCTTTGGGTGATAATCTTTTCAGTTCTCTTACTCCTCAAATGTTGACTGTTTATAGCATGCATGGCTGTGGACCAGGACTGGGGTTTCTGGACGGTATTGGCTTTCCCGGGTATATTGATGGGTTTTTAATGGTGTCAGCCCATGTATATGAATGCAGAAGTCATTCCACATGAGTCAGATTTTATTAAGATTTAAATGGACATCTTTATACCTCAATTTTGCCAAGATGGAAACATCAATCTTTTTCAGTGGTGGTGAACTTGGGAGCATAAGCAAATCTTATAAAACAACATGCTGTTGCCTAATATAACATTACATGATAAATTATTATCGGTGTGTTTACTTGCAGTTTGCTATGCCCAGAGTAGCCTCTTTCCCCCCATTTCAGTGGCACCATTTGTTCAAGATTCATCTGTGGTTCCTTTGCCTTGCTTGTATGGCACCTCCACACCTTACAGCCAACTGCCCGAGACCCTAGATGTACCTTTTGGCAGTAAAGCTCCTGAAATTTATCCCACTTTTCTATTCATTTCTAGTATGATGAGCCTGGCTTCCTTTGATTCTTCATGGCTGAGACCAGATCACATAGTCACCCCTCCCCTTCTCCCCACTCACTTCCCACATTCCCAGACACCTGTCATTTTTTATGTTGCCTAATGAGTGTATTGAATATATTTTATTTTGTTCCAGTTTTATTATAACCGAATTTCTGTTTAGTGCTTCTGAACTATACTGAGAACTTCCAGCATGCTTTTTAAGTCTTGGAGCCGTATTGCTGAGAAAATAAGACCATGATAATAAGCTTTAAAGTGGTTACTCTTGCCCAAGGGACGGAGATTGCAACTGGAGAGATTGTAAGCAGGACAGTAGGACACAAAAGTAGAGGCTGTTGTTGGCAGTTCCGGCGTGCGTGCCCAGGCTGCTGGTAACCGGGGCGGCTGTTAAATGACCCCGTGGTCTGATGAATGCGATTGCTACTTATCAGCACACTCCTAATTCACTTAGAGCTGAATTTAAAGTAATCGTATTTTTTAACACAGTAAGCACATTTCGTTTGCTTTCATATCTCCGTATGTAACTTCGGAATGTATTTTAAGAACTTAACCAAGAATATTTTCATCAGGCATCTCTTGATATTTTTCATTTGATGGGTTGACAAACAGTGAAGACTTTCATTTCTATGCTCATCCTATGATGAGCTAAGAATGTTTATAAGTTAATGTTGAATATTAGGCTTATAGGAGGACTCTCATCACGGGGAGGGAAAATACTAACTTTTGCACAGTGTTGGTTCTTTACAGTTATTTCACTGTTTCATTTGGTCCTTACCACTGTTTTAAGTCTTGAGAATAAGAAGTTATTCTGTACTTCCTAACCATCTTCCTTTACTTTTAACTTTTGGAATAAGTAAATTTCAGTAGTTTTTCCATATATTTTTTTAATAAGCACTAGATTGTAGTTCTTATTCTTGTGTCCGTTTCTCTTTGCACCTGTAAAATGAGTCTTCTCACCCCTGATTAAATAATTCATGGTGTTTTTATTATTTGTAATCAAATTTATTGAAATGTAATGTATATATAATAAAATGCTATCATTTGAAGTATGCATCTGAATGGATTTTGAATTTATTCACGCATGTACCAACAAGCACAATCAAAATAAATAAAATTCAATAACTTCCTTTGGCCCTTCCAAGCCATCCTTCTCCTAGGAAACCACTGATCTGTTTTCAGGCACAAATCAGTAGATTTGTCTTTTCTAGAAGTTCTTGTAAGTGAAATGATACAGAGTGTATTCTCACGTCTAGCTCCCTTACTCATCTACATCATACATGACTCAGTTCATTCCTTTTTCTAATGAGTGGTATTCCATTGAATAGGCAGCAGTTTGTTTATCCACTCACCCATTAGTATCGTAAAAATATTGTCGAAATGTTAAAAGATTTGATGGAACATAATGTTGTGAGCTTACTAAAACTAACATTGCAGTTATTTCCAGTACAGTATGTTTATTTCCCAGCCTGGTTTTCTTAATGCAGTTCCTGGCTGGCTCGTTTGGTAGAGCATCCGACTGTTAATCTCCAGGTTGTGAGTTCGAGTCCCACATTGGGTATAGGGGTTACTTTTTAAAAAAAAAGTTACAAAAAATTTTTTTAAATTTACTGACTCTTTTCTTTTATAGCAATCTTTACATCCAACATGGGGTTTGAACCCATGACCTGGAGATTGCTTCCTTGCATTAGCAACCAAACCAGCCAGTCACTCCACAAAAATATAATTTTAACCTTTATATAAAGCTATCTCATAAGTCATGTTTCTGTATGATCATAATTTACTTTAAAAAGTATATATTATTCCAAACTATAGAACTGTTCTAAACTATTGCTATATTCGACTTGTCTGATGATAGGTAGAATTTTTTCTCTCTGAACATGTTGATATAACACTGCAGTGAATATATTATAGAACTTTATTTCCTGTTGAGATTTTCCTTAGGATGAATTTCCAGCATTGAAATTATGGAAGATTATATAGGAGATTGCTTTTTTCTTTTTATGTCTTTAGAGAGTAATAGCATTGGCTGGATAAGAAGTTGGTGGAGTTTGGGTTCATTGAGCCTGATTTTGAGTCTTAGCTGTACAACCCCGTGAAAGTTATTTAACGTTTCTGAACATTATACATTTATGTACATATGTGGCCAGCACAATACTGTCATGTCATCTTGTTTTCCAGAAAGAGTATATTAATTCATGACACCGATGACCAGTGCATAAATGTCCCAGTTTTACCAACTTCAGGTTTATCATTCATGAGGTTTTTTTTTTTTTTTTTAATTTGGTAGAAACGATCTCCTATTTTCTTTGATTTGTACACATTTGATTTTTAGGAAGGATTTGCATTTGCTACTATAAGAAATGCCTATTTTATTTTTGATGTTCATGTATCTTTTATTATGGCTAAGCAATTGCTCCTTGCTTCTAATTTTTAAATTGTTTTCCTGCCTATTGTTTTTGCCCTTTGTTTCAACTTTGTTTTTTCCTTGTAAAGAAGTTAAACTTTTCACGTTTTAAATCTCCAGTTATTTCCTTTTACAATTTCTACGGCTTCAGAGTGGCACATGGTTTCCTTCCTAGTCTCCTAACGTGATTGTCATTGTCACAATTATTACATTGTGGTCCGCGTGCTCTTGGTGGGTCATTTTCATCAGTATTGCCAACAATTCTGTCCTGAGGTGGGGGAGAAGGGGGCTTTTTTCTTGACAAGAATGTGGTTTCTAAATCACAATGGAGTGGCACCTGGGTGGCTCAAGCTGGTTGAAGTGTAAGCATCCAAGTCTTGATCTCGGCTCCGGTCATGATCTCTCAGGGTCCTGGGATCCAGTCTCCTGTTGGGCTCCATGCTAGGCATGGAGTCTGCTTACGATTCTCTCTTTCCCTCCCCTCCTGACCTCATCCCCCAATCTCTGAAATCAATCAATCAGTCACCATGGAAAATGATCTTAGATGTGATTCAGAAGATCCCTGGCTTCAGTTGTTTAGAGACTTGTATTTGGGAACAAACTTGCTCTCATATAGGTACTTGTTTACTTTTATTTTGCCCTAAACAGCACTTTGGTAACTTCCATTTACTATGGAGAGGACAAAACAAGATCTTTAAAAATTCTTTGAAGAAATTAAAAGTAGAGATGTGATGTATGTTTAGGGAAGACTGATCTAAATCAATTCATAGATTTTTATCAGTATCTATTATAAAAGGAATAGCTCCCATCTACAGAGTTCCTCATGGAGAATCCTATTCCTCCCACTTGGGTCCCCACTGCATTTAGCCCTTAAGGAAGGGCTCTGAAATGTGCACTGGAGCAGTCCCATGAGGCCTTCCCCTTCTCCACCAGCTTATGTGCAAGAAAATAAAGGTTTCCGTTATGCTGCAGTATCTACAGAAAGGGCATTTCTTTACCACCATCCTTACTGTGACTCTCTGACCCAGTTCTCTGGGGGCATAACTGGGAGGCTGGTATGTAATAAGGCAGATATCTCATTTTATTTCATCAACTGGGTGATCTCTCCACATTCGACAGTTCTTTCTGAATATCACCTTCTCTTATGTGTGCCTGTGCCGAGTCTTTATCATTTAAAAGCAAGAGGTCGTGAATCTGTTTTTTGTTTTCTGGCCTTTAGAATAATACCTGACAATTTTATTGAGTAATGGGTTTTTCATTTTCTCTAATATGGAAGGAAAACAACAAAAAATTAAACATAACTTGTTTTCTTTCAGACGGCAATGGAGGTCATGGAGTTCAGCAAGGAAGAAGTCCGGGAGGTCTTGAGGTTGCTTGCTGGTGTCTTACATCTTGGGAACATAGAATTTATCACTGCTGGTGGGGCCCAAGTGTCCTTCAAAACAGGTAAGATGGCTCTCCCCTTCTTCCCTCCTGTGGCTTTGTCCTCGTAAGGAACTTAGACCTAAAGTGTTTACTCTCTGGCCTCCTACAGAAAGAGCTTTCTGAGTCCTGTATAGAGAAGTATGGAGCTTTGTATTTGATGGGAACTGTCAGATAAGAAAGGCTCCGAGCATATGAGGAGTGATTGCTGATTGGGATGGTGGCTGTGTTCTCATTCTCAACCAGGAAAGAGGAGAATAGACCCAATAAAGAAATATGAGCTACAAGGATTAGATGTAGGGAAATGTTGCGGCAGGGAGTCATGGTGGTGTTGGTGTCCTTTTTCCATAGTTCTTGAGTGGTGACCTGGTGTGCTGGGGATGCCCACTGGTTCCCAAGCACAAATGCTTGGTCCATAGTCCAGCTCTGCCACAGGCCGTTTCCTTGAGGTACTGATGATGCCCTACATGAGTGATTTCATATCTATAAAGTCCCTCAGTGATGTGTTGTCAAGATTAAATGAATTAATAATGCACATCGCTATGTCAGTTGTCATTTTCCTGGAACGATTAATGTATTTACTTTTGAAACTTTCCTGATGGAAGCAACATGTGAGGGCATGGAGCCTAGGGTTTGGATATGTTAAAGTTTGAAATGGCTGTAGGTGTGAAGCCAGTGCTGTAGGTCAGTGGTTCTCACATTGGTCCCAGTGCCTCTTAATCATCATAAGACTGTAGAGAACTCCAAAGAGCTTTTGTTTACGGGAGTCATGTCTGTTCATGTTACTGCCTTAGAAATGAAAACTGATTTTGGGGTGCTCAGTGGCTCTGTGGGTTAAGCGACTGCCTTTGGCTCAGGGCATGATCCCAGGGTCCTGGGATGGAGCCCTGGGTCAGGCTCCCTCCTCAGCAGGGCGTCTGCTCCTCCCTCTCCCTCTGCCTGCTCCTCCTCCTGCTTTGTGCTAATCACCTAAATAAAATCTTTAAAATCTTTAAAAAAATTTACTGATTAATTTTGAAATGATTATAAAAAACCCATTGCATGTTTACATAAATATCATATTTTTATTTAAAAGACTGCCCAAATAAAAGAAAATTTGCCAGAAGATTGACAATTGTCTTACATTTTTGCCAACTTTAAAAATACCTGATGTCAGGGAGGACAGCTGGATTCTCTTATCGGCTTCTGCATTTGGTTTGTTGAGATGCCTCATATCACGTAACCACAGGATAAACTCGTCTGTATCATGATGAGGGGATGAGAGTAAAACAGCAAATAGCATCTTAATGTCATTGGAAATAGTTATGACCTTGCAGAGCTGTGGCGGGGTCTCAGGGACACTCTGCCTCGGAGTCTCAGGACCACACGTGGTCCAAGCATCAGGGGCTCTGCTAATTTTACCTGAGGGTAAGTTTAGGAATGTTTTCTGCTTTAACAAGGCACAGTGTGGAGTAGCTCCGGGTCCCCTGGCCCCTCCCTTCTTGGGTCAGTGTATCTACTATTGCCTTGTTCTTCATTTCCAGCCTTGGGCAGGTCTGCAGAGCTACTTGGGCTGGACTCAGCACAGCTCACTGACGCTCTGACGCAGAGATCCATGTTCCTCAGGGGGGAAGAGATCCTCACTCCTCTCACTGTTCAGCAGGTACGTGCACTTTGCCATCAAAGCTTGTTTTAAAAGACACTCCTGGGGAGGTGCCTGGGGGGTTCAGTCGGGTGTCTCAGTTGGTTAAACATCTGCCTTGGGCTCAGGGCGTGACCCTGGGGTCTGGGATCGAGTCCCACATCCATGTCCCCGCGGGGAGCCTGCTTCTTCCTGTGCCTGTGTCTCTGCCTCTGTGTGTGTGTGTGTCTCAGGAATAAATAAATATTTAAGAAACAACAACAAGAAGAGGACGGGTCTGATGGCGATTTCCTGAGTTTGGGGTCCTGACATACTACTTTCTGTTCTTGGAGGATGCATTCATTGTGTGTGTTTCCTCCTCTGTAAGACAGGGATGATTATTCTACCTAATTCATAGGATACTTGTGAGGATGATAAATACATGCCGGTGACCTAAGTACTAAAGAAACATGAGATTTAATAATTTATTGTTATTACTATGTATCAGGACTTAGTTTTGCTCCTGCAACTGCCTTGAGCTAATCCTATGTGCTGGCCCACCCAATATCCGTTTCTCGATTGGATAAGTAAAAATGCTGACCATGCCACAGAGAAAACTTTTCTGTGTACAAAGTAGATTAAGAGAAGATGATCATGGGAGAACTCAGGCCTTAATTATGGTCTTAAGCCCGATAAAAATCGAAGTTGTGTGTGTTGGTTCAGATCCTTTCCTATAACTCAACATAAACACTTGAGTTTGAGAGCCTGATAGTTAAGGGAGCCTTCAGCGCATCCCACCGTGAAGTGAGTGAGCGAGCTCCAGGATACCCGTTCCTGGGACATCTGGCTTTTCCTTGGTGGTCCTGATTAGCTTGATATTGGGTGCACAGGTGTTACTCCTGTTGAGTACGTGGGGGTGGGGGGCAGGGATGGACGTGGCTGCCTGGGTCTGTGGTCAGCGGGACACGGCGGTGGCGTCTCCTCTCCCCCAGGCAGAGGACAGCAGAGACTCCCTGGCCATGGCACTTTATGCACGCTGCTTCGAGTGGGTGATTAAGAAGATCAACAGCAGGATCAAAGGCAAAGATGACTTTAAATCTATTGGCATTCTTGACATCTTTGGATTTGAGAACTTCGAGGTATGCTTCTGAGGAGTGGGGTGCATGAGTTCTTTTCTATCCACTTAATTGGCTCAGCTGAAATCTATTCAAATAAATGTTGATATTTTTCTCCACAGATTTTTTTCTTTTCCTTTTCTTCATCTTCATATGTAGTAGGAAGAGCACTAAAGATACTTGTTGAATGGTTCCCCCCTCCCCCCCTTAGGTTAATCACTTCGAGCAGTTCAATATAAACTATGCAAATGAGAAACTTCAGGAATATTTCAACAAACATATTTTTTCTCTGGAGCAACTAGAATATAGCAGGTAAGTGCTCATAGAGTTTCGCCTCTAAATATTTTTTTTTTAATCAGCCACTAAATTAGATAGTTTTAAAGCTCTATTTTATTATAACTCAGCCCTTTTAAATCTTGCTACAGGGAAGGATTGGTGTGGGAAGACATTGACTGGATAGACAATGGTGAATGCTTGGACCTGATTGAGAAGGTAACCTTGCTGATGCATCGTGGCCCTGTCCCGAGGCTGTCCCACTGGGCTGATTCATATTTATGGGAACAAACTAGCTTGTGCAAACATGCACATCAAAGATGTGAATGTGGGGAACACAATGGACCATTTGCAAACATACATGCAATGTGCAAAGTTGAATTTAGTTACTTGGCTGCTTCAGACTTAATTTTTCATCGCACTCCGTATTTTAGAATCAAGTGTGTAAACCGGCTCCACTTAGACTTTAGTCAGCCCTCAGAGCTTTGCCAGCATCACTGGTACACTGGCCGCTTGTGGTTTTGTCCACAAAATTGTGGTGGTTTCCATGTTTATATGGAGTTTAAATGCGTTGGATGTGTTTATGGTGTCATTCTGAATTTAAACCAAGAAATTGCTATGTCTTTCCCTTTGATGCTTACTTGGGGGGGGGAGCTCTGAACTATTTTGAGGCATATGGTCAACTTTTAATTCATTTAACCTCTTTTCTGTCTTTTAGAAACTTGGTCTCCTCGCCCTTATCAATGAAGAAAGCCATTTCCCCCAAGCCACAGACAGCACATTATTGGAGAAGTTGCATAGTCAACACGCTGTACGTCCAAACAGGCCAATTCTTAATGGTGTCTGAGTAGCACATCTGTGGCATCAGATACACCTAAGATCTTTCAGTGCTGATGGCTCCACTGTGCCTCCCATGTGTAACTTTTTTCTCAAACCAGAGTGCTCTCTTCCAGTTGCTAGAACGAAATTGAAATTCGTGAAAGGCATAGACTTGGGGCTGCTCGTCAGAAGGTGCCCAAGTTTAGTTTATATGAGTACAGAGTTCAGCTCACTACTGAGGTGACAAGACAAGACCTAGTTGGTTTTGATCGAGCGTATCACGGGCTCTGCCCTCAACCTCTGTTGTGTGGCAGGTTTTGAGATTGTTTTCACTATGTGTTGTGGTGAATTCTCTTGGCAAGTCTGTGCAAATCATTAAGTGAAATTAGGCGTTTGTATTTGTTTCTTTATTAGAATAACCACTTTTACGTGAAGCCCAGAGTTGCGGTCAACAATTTTGGAGTGAAACACTATGCTGGAGAGGTAACTTCCTAATTAAGATCCTTCCTGGGTGCCCGGGGAGCTCAGTGGTGGAGCGTCTGCCTTCAGCTCAGGGCATGACCCCGGGGTCCTGGATCGAGTCCCACATCGGGCTCCCTGCATGGAGCCTGCTTCTCCCTCTGCCTATGTCTGTGCCTCTCTCTCTGTGTCTCTCATGAATAAATAAAATATTTAGAAAAAAATTCCTACTGCTATTTCCCATGTGGTATTTAGAAAAATAGTAATTTCAGAAACCATCCATAAATGTATCAAAATGACACCTTTTCATGGGTCTGGCTTTTAAAGGAGATGTTTATGACTAGAACCTATTCTTTTGATCAGTTGTACCATTTATCATTTGTCTTTGTTTTTGTTTTTTAAAAACCAGGTGCAATATGATGTCCGGGGCATCTTGGAGAAGAACAGAGATACCTTCAGAGATGATCTTCTCAACTTGTTAAGAGAAAGCCGGTATGTCAATCTCCTCTCCAAGATGTCATCAGCAAGCATCAGTGTCATTTGTGCAAATGCTTTTAATTTACAAACATATAAGAAAATAATACTTTTCATGGGCAATATTTCATTAATAAAATGACCAAACTATGGAAAGTAATAAGAGTAGCAGTGACTACTATTTAATGTGGTGCCATAAGAACAGTGTATCTGTGCGTCAGGTACGACTTAGCCTGATGCGCAGATGGAGAGACTCATTTTTGGGGCAGTGACAAGCCTTGGCCAAGGACAGCTAGTTTGGATTCACTCTGCCTGGCTCTAGAACCCAAGATCTTAACCAGGATGACCTCCTGTCTTCACAACAAGCTTAGAGCTCTGTGTTAGATTGGTTTCAGCCTTGTGTGTGTAGGACGCGTATGTCTCTAAAGTATGTTAGAAAAAATGAACAGGTGTCAGTTCAGCTAAGATTACAACCTTACATGTTAGTTCATCCATTCGTGAATCATAAATTCACACGGTTAGCTCGGTAGTTGGTCGGAGCCGCTGTTTGCGGGACAGCCCTATTATAAGGTGGGAGACTGAGTGTGAGAGAAAGGGAGGGAATAGCCCTTGGGGTAGAGCTTTCCATCCATACTTGTTTCAGAACCACTGTGAATCTGTAACAGAAACAAATGTTTATTATCCAGGGAAGGAAAGTAGCACAATGATGAAAAACCCTAAGATTTTTAGGAATGTAAGTGTCTGGTGACCACCTGGTCACACAGCTCTGAGTCGGGGTAAAGGAAGCCCACCTACACATCAGCTTAGGACCTTAGAACTGGAAGATATTTAGATTTGTTTGGACTTTTCCTGTGTGGAGATTCCCTATTTACAGCACTGTCAGCTGTTTTTATCTTTAGATGAGTTTTCAGATCTTAAAAACAGGGACATTCAGGGGCAGCAGGCTGACTCAGTAGAGCATGTGACTCCTGATCCTGGGGTCCTGAGTTCAAGTCCTATGTTGAGGGTAGAGCTTACTTAAAAAAAAAAAAAGTTCAGAAAATGATAATGGTGATGCTTTAAAAATACCATAGCATGCTCTCTATCAGCAAGTCCTTGGTGGTTAGATTTTAAAGGGTGACATTTAAAAATGACCTTGATGTTACATGGACGCCTTTTGCAGTGAAGAGAGGACAGGTATGGAGGTCAGCAAGATGGTCACCTCTGTCATAACATGGGGTGATTTTGTGACTGGAGTGGAGAAGTTTCTGTTTCGGTCCGGGTTTCTGTCTGCAAAAATGTGAGGGGCCTGGGCTGTCGCTTGCTCTGCTCTTTCACCTTGACATCTGTGACATGTTAATGGAACCAGAGTTTTTCTCCAAAGCTCTCAAAGCACAGTTAGAGAACTTCAGAGGGTGAGCCCGAAACAGCAACCTACAAGGGAAATAGAGGAGGGATGGGGACAGTGAGCGGTAGTGGGGCAACCTTGGTGGTGCCACCTCTGGAGGGGCCGATGCCCAGAACTTGTCCCCTCCCTGCCTCACCTGCTCTGGGGGTGGGGGAGCCAGCTGCCCCCTACTTTCCAGCCCATGCCTGTAGCATCTTCCATGCAAGAAACACAGGAAGTTATTGAGAAGCTTTTTACTTTTTATTAGTAGTGGCAATTTTTTAAAAAGATTTTATGTATTTGACAGAAGGCACAAGCAGGAAGAGCAGGAGAGGGAGAAACAGGCTCCCCCTGAGCAGGGAGCCTGATGTGGGGCTCCACCCTAGGACCCCAGGGTCATGACCTGAGCCCAAGGCAGACGCTTAACTGACTGAGCCTCCCAGGTGCTCCCGTAATCGCAATTTTTTTTTTAAGATTTTAATTATTCATTCATGACAGACACACCCACAGAGAGGCAGAGACAGACAAAGGGAAAAGCAGGCTCCATGCAGGGAGCCTGATGTGGGACTTGATCCCGGGTCTCCAGGATCACACCCCGGGCTGAAGGCGGTGCTAAACCACTGGGCCACTGGGGCTGCCCCGTAATCACAATTTTATAGAACTTTTTCGTAATAACATAAATTCTAAAATTTGAGAAATGAGGCTAAGTCCAGCATCTACCCAAGTCACGTAGCTCAGAAGGGATGGAGGCAAGATGAAGCCTAGTGTGCTCTACTGCAGAGGAGCCCCTTTCCCTGTTAACTGGTTGGATCTTTGAGACACTGTGAGGTGTGCAGAATACCTCCGTCCTTCAGGGAAATATAAAGGCTGCAGGAGCGTAGGTGCACTCTGCAAACACTGTGCTCCCAAGGGGCACATCACCCCAGGGTACACTCACCCCAAGCCACTTCCCTTCTGCGAGACTCTAGTGCTCAGAAGGTGGCCACAGCTTGCTTTTCAGTGCCTAAAGCTCCTTGGCCATGGTGGCTCTGAAATCTTCGGAAGGCGTCTTTGCTCCTCCTGGACTCAGGGTGTTAACCTTCAGTGGGAAAATGCTTTCTAATTACAGTAATCCGGCGCCTGGTAATTGGGTGTGCGCCCCTCACGGCCCTCCTGCTCTCTGCTCACACAGATTCGACTTCATCTATGACCTGTTTGAACACGTTTCAAGCCGCAATAACCAGGATACCTTGAAATGTGGCAGCAAACATCGACGGCCCACAGTCAGCTCACAGTTCAAGGTTAGTCTGTGTGGCTGGCTCTCATGAATCCACGGTTGCTGTGACTTTAGGAATTGAAAACAGGAACTGGGGGTATGTGAGATCCATGAAGGTGTTTATTTTTTTTCTCTTTTATGTTACCAGGCAGTGCTTTTAAAATACACTTTTTCTGGGTCAGATGAAAATGTGTAGTTTTTTTTTTTTTTTTTGGTCTTGTTAAAAATAAATAGCTACTTATCTAAGTCGAAGGACTCGTGGGCCATTTGGGATCACTTTGATGTGTATGGAGAGGCTTGTATGAATAGAAGTATATTTCTCCTCATGTTTGGATTTTTGTGTTTTTCCCAGGTATGTTTACAGTATCATAACTGGGAATAATGACTGAATAAGTGGCTATTTAAATAAGAACAGAGTCACTTACCTTGTCCAGATACCTAGATTTCAGGGTAAATCAGGATCCTTTTTATTTGCATTTTAAATATGTAATCGTTTTTAAAATAGAGGTGGAGCACACAAAGACCATTTTCTGAACCTAATTGTTTTACCCCAAAGTAACAACTGCTAATAGGAAGAGAACTAGAAGCATGTCACTCATAGACATTTATTAAATCTGCCTCCAAGGGGTCTCTGATTTAGTTATTCAGAGCAGGATGCATCTGGCGGGGTTGGGGTGGTGAGGGCCGTCGGTCATACAGCATAGCTGGCGATGCACCTGGTACGCGCCAGCACTGCTGACGGTGCTGGATCGTGCGACGGGAAGGACAGGTTTGACCCAGAGAGGCTGTAATAAAAATCGCTGCCACTTACTGTGTACTTATTCTGTGTCAGGCATTGGGCTAATCGCTTCATGTACGCTGTCTTGTTCCTTTCTCCCGGAATCTTCGAAGTGCTTATTACTTACGCCCATTATACAGGCGAGGAAACTAAAGTTTAGAGATGAAGACTCACTCCTTCAGTCCCTCCGAGAACTGAAGCTAGGACTTGAACTGAGCCTGTCTGACTCTAAAGCCTAGACACGGAGTCTTCCAGTTGTTACATTACCTTTTTCTAGGACGGCGGTACCTGGAATTGCCCCAGAAGGTTTTGTGGATGCTTGAGGATTAAATTGCACTAAGAATCAAGGGAATGGCAGGTCGAGAGACCAGGCAGGAGAAGGAGTCCTGAGACAGGAATGTCGGGCCCTGTCCCTGGATGGCTGTGGCCAGGGGGCCCGCTGACGGGATGCCTCGTATGGAGTTAGGCTGGTACCACGATACGTGAAGGGCCTTGCAGACCAGGCCATTCTGTCATCGCTGAGAAGTCCCCAGGCTTCCAAAGCACAGAAGGAACTCATCAGTGCTGTGCTGTAGGCAACCTGGTCCTATGGTGGTTTACAGGAGACCTACAGACACATCGACTGCAACACAAGAACTTTATTTACATTCTGATTTCCAAGAACAGACCATTTTTTTAAATAAAGAGATTTATGTATTAGAGAGAGAGAGATTGTGCTCACAGGACGGGGCAGAGGGGAGGGAAGGGGTCCTGCTGAGCGCGGACCCTGCGATCATGACCTGATCCCAAACTGAGAGTTGGACCCTTAGCCCACTGAGCCACCCAGGTGCCCCAAAGAGCACGCCACTTGAAAAATGATGAAATTTGAGACACTTGATTTAATTCGAAATCTGAGACGGTTGCTTCTTTTAATATTGGGATTAAGGAATTCCTGTTTAAGCTTTTTGGGGTGATGCTGTGGCGGTGGTCCACACGTCTGAAAGTATAGAGCCTTTAATAACACACTGAAATCTTGAGGGAGGAACTAATATGCTGTCTGGGATTTGCTTTCCTACGAGGGATGGGTGTAGTATGTACACAGACAGGGATGGGATAAGATGAGATTAGCGATGAGCCCAAGCTGGTGATGAGTGCTCCTCATACGCTCTGTCTGCCTGGGGAGATGTTACAAATTCTTCTCAACCACCACGACAGCAAATCTTAAAAAATTAAAAAAAAAAAAAAAAAAAAAGCAGTATTATAGAAGATTGATCTGCCTGGTGAGGTGAGGGTGAGAGACTGGGGAATACGTTCCATCAAAATGACGGAAATAATGAATTAGAAAAAACTCGCAAGGGGGAGAGTGCAGGTTTTGTGTATGTAACATCAAAAAAACCTTGGTTTGTTCTTTTGCTGGTTAACACATGTTTTTTTTAATGACCCTATTTCAAAGAAGTGACAAATGAGCTTCACATTCTGTGAAATGATTTCAGTGACTACGAATTGTTATGTCTTGGCTTTATTTTGTATTAGAACGATGACGGTAAAGATTAAAAAGTCTTACTACTCCTGTAGATTTATATTGGTCTTTATTCCTGTTTCTGATCAGTGCCTAGAATGCTGAGAAATCTAAAGAAGGACACATGGTAAGAGACTAAATCAACACATACTTTTTCCTTTCTAACAGGACTCACTGCATTCCTTAATGGCCACGCTAAGCTCCTCTAATCCTTTCTTTGTTCGCTGTATCAAGCCAAACACGCAGAAGGTAAGATTTGCAGCAGTGCCAGACTGAGGCTGGGTCTTTAGGGATACCACCTCCTGGGGCACTTTCTCTAAAGTCCTTTCATCATAGAGGGTTCGAAGTATATAGGACATTATTATAACCTAACATTAAATGAAAAAAAAATGCCATTGTCTCTTGGGCCTATTTGCTTCTGAATGATGCCATTCAGCTTTAGAGAAATCTAGTTTAAGAGGAAGTGCTATGTTTTGTTTTGTTTTTTTTTTTTTTTTTAAGGATTTGGTTTGAAGTTCTTGGGCAGGCTTCTATTTTGGAAGACATACTTGGTGTATGTTTTCTGGTTGACTTCTTTCTTCATTTTGTTAAACACGACAGAGAGTCTGTACTCTGAATAGCAGTGCTGACGTTTAAGGGCTCTGACCAGGTGGTCATGCCTGATTTGAGAACCCCCGAAAGGCCTTCGTCATCGTCGTCAGTTTGCGTGGGTAGGGCTCTGCAAGTTTAGCTCCTTCATGCCATGGCCCGACCGGAAACAATAGGACTGTTGCAAGACGCTATCTAAACAAAGAATTCAGTAGTGAGTGTATGTAGTTGCTGAACCCAAGACTAAATGGGCGGCCTGCCCTCAAATGTTGTTGAGAAATGGAAATTATCTTGATTTGGGACATAGCAGCTCTTAGGAACCTCCCTGAGAATGTCACTGGCCTCTCATGTCAAAAACCTGCTATCCTCCTAAGGCTTGAGAGGAGGAAGCTGTCAGAACCGTTTGCCGTGAGACTTGTGTCGTATTCTGGTAACTTTGCTGAGGCTACATCTTTTATCTTGTTTACTAGTTGCTCGTGACTTTAATACTAGCGATTTCCCATTTTTAGTTTAAACATGCTTCTAAGAAGTGCAATATTGGACTCTGTCTTCTAGCAGGAGGCAAAAGTGGGTGCTTTCTCGAACCAAGGGTATCCTGTGAAGTTTGCTAGCTTACCCTGAGCTCTGAAGGTGGGAATTTGGTATTTGTATGGCATAGAGCGGCCGGGATTGGTCCTGTAGGGAAGATCGACGCCTCTGTTCTGGTAGCTTAAAAGAGTAGCTCATCGTTCCATTTCCCAAATTTCCATCCAGATGTCTTAGATTATCACACACACACACACACACACACAAAAATGGCAGCATAAACAGTATGTAGTTTTTGGACATAATGTAGGAAAGTACTAGTTAAAGCATGATGATATACCATGTCAGCTGGTTTATGTATCTCAGTGGGTAGTATTTACAGCACAAGTGGGCTTCACGCTTTGGGTCTACACTCAGAGGAGCTGTTTGGTTACTTTCTCTCAATGGTGTTAATAATATCATATTTCATCCTTCAAACATGCCATTTTTCCCCCCAAATTTTAAGGACTTGGGTATTGGAGGGCATTTTACAGCTTTTGGTGAGCCAGAGTTAACTGAGAGATCTCCTCCTGTCTTGGTGTGTAACCCAATCCTGCAGGTGTAGAGGCACTGGTATCTTAGATTTGGTGAACCGGGGCCCTGCCATGCCAGTATTGTTATGGGGATAGGAATCTAAAACTCAGTGCCTCGTGTATTTTTCTTTCTCAGATGGCATAAGAGTTTTCCCTTTATTTATTTTTAAAAGATTTTATTTATTCATAAGAGACACAGGCAGAGACACAGGCAGAGGGAGGAGCAGGCTCCCTGCAGGGAGCCTGATGTGGGACTTGATCCCAGGACCCTGGGGTCACGCCCTGAGCCAAAGGCAGGCGCTCAACCACTGAGCCACCCAGGGATCCAAGAGTTTTCCCTTTAAATTGTAATAGCTTCTGAAATTAGGCCTGCTGCAAAGCTCTTCAGCACACAGCAGATTCTTGAAGAGATCACCTCTTTTTGATGTTTATTTTTTTCCTTACTGGGATGTGACTGTGCCTAATTGCTCTGGTTTTTCCATTTAAAGAAATGAGGCAGCCCAACCTCCTATTTCATATGTACGGCTTACAGTCTCCCCGTGGCCTGACCTGTGGCAGACACTAATTACTCATCACCAAGAGAGGGGCCGTAGGAGACTCTGGAGAAACATCTTGGTACCATTTTAAATGCAGCCAGAAAGTAAAGGCACAGACACGTGAACCCAGTCATCTGAGGCTCAAGATGTGGGTGTGATTTGAAGTGTGAAGATGCTAATTAGAATATGGAAATAGTTAATTATGACTTGCTTAGCATTCATTTGGTTCCACTGAAAATATCGGACGTTACTGGTGATGACGTTCTCTGAAATGTATGTAAACAACCCTCCTTTGGAGTTTATTGCCAGTTTTCTTTTGTCCAGCGATCGGTGCTTCTAGAAATTTCACAGGGAAAATCTTAACCTGCAGTCACCCTGTGGATGAGGATTGTATACTTCTGCCTCAAAGGGATGAGACTCTCTCTCTCATATCCTTTTCCAGTCATTTGCTCATCAGGGGACCCTGAGAAGTGGTATTCAAACTTGCATGTACATGGGTATTTTGTGCATCGTTCAGGAACATGGATTGTGGGTTTGGGCAAGTTCTAGAGGGTTTTTTTTTTTTTTTTTTGACGGTTCTATGACCAGAGGGATAGAAATAGTGGCTTAAAAGCCTGTGGCTTAAAGAAGTGTGGCCTTGGAGAAAGTGAAAAACCAGCTTTGAGCTTTTAGGAGCATGTCCAGCACATCCAAGGCTCCCATGGTGGCTTTGTGAGTGTGAGCACAGCCCAGTGGGCCTCAGCTTGTAGGACAGGCTGCCTCCCTCCTTGGTAAGTGCGTGAAGCTCAGAGCTGGGTGCTTGGGCCTAAAGCATCTAGAAGTCTTTTGTTGGGAATATCACGGGATTTTTGTGTTTTGCTTTGAAAAGCAAGTGCAAGCGGGGAGAATAGAGTGGAAATGCTAGAACCTTCTGGCAACCCAGCAGTAACAATTATGGACTTTTTTTTTTAGGAACAGCAGGTTGTGGTTAAAAGGCATTTCACCTGCGTTAAGAAGTTGTGGTGCTAAGTTATGAGGCAAATTTTATTTATTTATTTATTTATTTATTTATTTATTTATTTATTTTTATTTATTTTTTATTTTTTATTGGTGTTCAATTTGCCAACATATAGCATAACCCCCAGTGCTCATCCCATCAAGTGCCCCCCTCATGCCCGTCACCCAGTCCCCCCCAACCCCCGCCCAGCTCCCTTTCTACCATCTCTTGTTCATTTCCCAGAGTTAGGAGTCTCTCATGTTCTGTCTCTCTTTCTGATATTTCCCACTCACTTTTTCTATGAGGCAAATTTTAAAGAGCATGCCTGTCAACGCAATGGAATACTACTCAGCCATAAAAAAGATTGAAACCTTGCCATCTGCAAAGACAGGGATGGAGCTGGAAGGTATTAGGCTAAGCGAAGTAAGTCAGTTGGAGAAAGTCGAGCACCATGCGATTTCACTCGTGTGTGGAGTCTCAAGCAAAACCTATGAGCAAAGGTAAGAAAGTGAGAGAGAGGCAAACCAAGAAACAGGCTCTTAGCTTGTGGACAACAGACCGAATGTCGGCAGAGGGGAGGGGTGGGGGTGAGCCGGTCAGACGGGGCTGCGCAGGCGGTGCCTGTCGTGATGCGCGCCGGGGATGTGGGAAATGCTCCATCACTACACTGCACGCCTGCGGCTAATGCCATGCTGGATGTTAACTAGGCTGGAATTAAAATAAAGGCTTAATAATAGAAAAATAAATAAAAAAGCCTACGTCTCCATAGGGGCTAGCGTGCGGTCACTTCTTCGCCTTACACGGCACCGCAAGATGGCCTCTTCCTCACCTGAGACTGTTGGAGTTGACAGAGGGCAGACTTCTCCACGAGGTGTAGCCTGTTGGCTTTGTTCTGTCCTGATTTGTTTGGCGGTACTAGCTTGTGGCCTGAAGTGCGGAACCCACCCCAGGAGATGTCCCCAACAAAGGAAACCTGCTTTGCTTCATCAGAATGTCTCCCCAAGGGTGTCCCGTGGCCTGTGATCTCTCCCCACCTGGTGTTTTAGCAAATGAGTTCTAGTCAGAAAAGTCTGTCATTAACATTCCTCAGGAACACCCTGAGGATGCACAGGACTGGAGGAGGAAACACACTGCTAAACATCGGGAAGGCCTTGGGGCTGTGAGCGCTGGCTGCCTGCAGTTCCCAGCCTCCGTGTGGGGAGGGCCAGGCTGTGCTCCCCGGACAGGAGCTGGGCCTGGCCGGTGCTGGGCCTGGCCGACCCTCCTTTCCGTCCCTCCCCTCCAGGAGGTTTGATGTGAGGAGTCCTTGGGTGGTTGGGGGCGGGGGCACATCCTCGATTCCCACAGCATCCTCTTCAAGCTTTCAGCTCAACCCTCCAGTGTCGTGGAAGATTCCACCTGGAAGATTCCATGGGTCTTCTCCAAGGAGGCAGGCCCTGGGTCACCTGGATCACGCTACGGGCTGCTGCAGGAGGGCTTCTGGCAGAGGTGCTGCCTGGAGTGACATTTACTGGGGTGGGGTGGGGTGGGGTGAGGACAGGGATGTGCCGAGGGGTGGTCCCTGGGGGGATCCCCCCCCATGTCTCTGAGCGCCCCTCCCAGCCCCCTGCCCCACCGCACTCATGCTGGCTGGAAACCAGCATTCGGAGCAGGAGCATGGAGCTGGAGCAGGGGTTGGCCCGTCCGTGGTGGCCTTGTCCCAAAGCCCCGTCTGTGGTCCAGGGACACATCAGCCTTCTCACATGGCGGCCTTTGAAAGACCTGCGCGGATGCCCGGCCTGCCCACCTGTGCCCCCTCCGCCAAGTGTTCACGGTCCACTCACCGTATGATGGACATTTTCTCAAGTCAGATCTCATCAGAACAGGACTGTTGCTGCTGCGCCCAGCGGCGCAGTGCTGATCATGAGGTCTCTGTGGCCCAGGACCCCACGCAAACGATCCCGTTCGTTCTCTGTGGGAGAAACAGAAGGTGCATGGGAGATGCGGAAGCGAAAGGGTCATAAGCATCAGGGAGCCAAGGATGTCTAGGGCTCTGCGGACTGGCAACCCCTG